CTTTGCAAGAGAACTACATTGGGTTATTCACATAATCCCTAAGAGTCAAAGTTTTCTTGAGGGAGTATGTACATTTTGCTTTCTCTATTAAGGAAATAATCAATATGGAAGAAAGATAATTTCTCTGCTTCTAGATATGTCTAGGGAATTCCTCATTTCATTTCTTTTTTCCATACTAAGTATGAATAGATTCCCTCAATGATGAGTATAGTATAGCTATCTTTCTTCTTTATTCAGATAGAACATAAATATAATAGTGAAACAATAAATTGGTTTTTCAGTCTGTCCTTGATGTCCTATATTATACTGGATTTTTAGTTTGAACTGAGAAGAAAAATAAATGATATATTTTTCAGATGTCAATAGTCAATACCATACTAACACACACATACACACATGCACACACACAAACACAAATAAAAGCAACACAGTTTAGAAATAAATAATATGAATTATGAATTGTTAGTACTGTCTTTGGAAACACAATTTGATGGGTGGCCTTGAGGAAAAATCTGGCTCTGCTCCTTCATGGGTGTCTGTGGCATTCAGATGTAGTGCAAACCAATTATATTTTCATTAAAAGATCCTCCAAGTGATTTTTCAGATGCTGCCAACTTTAAAAGAATTATGTAGATAATTATTTTAGAACAATATAAAATATAAACAAAATTCACTAAAATAATAAATGGAATGCAAAAAAACCCAAGTTAAAAAATGCTATAAACAAGAAATGTGAAGAAAAATCTCCAAAAACATCCCTCCTACCTCATTTTTAAGCACATGGATAATCATTGGTTTACTTGTCTACTATGGTTTACAATACCATAATATAAACAAATACAAAAATAATTCTAAAATACATACAGTATTTCCCCTAGCCTTATATTTCAACATTCTTATTATATATTTCCAAAAGTCATTCCTTAATATATGGAAGATCACTATTTAAATTTAAATTTAAATTTCTAAGAATTATTTTTCAGATTAGCCCCCATTTAAGATACAAAAAGTAAAAGTATAAAGCTTTGGTTCTGCATGTAATTCAACATCACATTAATATGTAATAAGCGAGCACTCCGCAAAGCCAGAGCTGCAAATGCTGAAGTAACAGTGTCTGCATTTCTTTGTTCAGTATGTGGCAGAACATTCCGTGCTAACATTGGTCTCATTAGCTGCCTACGGACACATCGTTGACGGCCCATAACCTACAAGATGTCAAGGTCTTCATCAAAAATCGATGGACGAACAACAATATGTTCCCATAAATCTCCTCATATCCATGAAAATGTTATTCCCCAAAAGTCACAAAAGATTATAGGACTTTATCATATGGATCAATTATTTTTTTACACAAACAATGTAGGAAATATGATATTCATCCTTTCAAGTACATTTTTGGAGAGTCCTATACACTAATATAATTTGGGGATCTTTCAACTTTGATCTCAAATTTGTCAAAACATTTGATCATTTTCAAGAACCTGAAGCCACTGATAGTATATTATTGATAATAATAATAATAGTAGTAAAGTTGGAAGGGACCTTGGAGGTCATCTAGTCCAACCCCCTGCTCAGGCAGGGAACCCTACACCATTTTGGACAAATGGCTGTCCAGTCTCTTCTTAAAAACTTCCAGTGTTGGAGCATTTACTGCTTCTGGAGGCAGGCTGTTCCACTGATTAATTGTTTTGACTGTCAGGAAGTTTCTCCTTAGTTCTAGGTTATTTCTCTCCTTGATTAGTTTCTACCCGTTGCTTCTTGTCCTGCCTTCAGGTGCTTTGGAAAATAGCTTGATTCCCTCTTCTTTATGGCAGCCCCTGAGATATTGGAATACTACTATCATTTATGATCATGAAACCATTGATGGGACATTATCTGGCTTAAGAACAGACCTAACAAAAGAGGAAGTGGAGTTGCATTATATATAAAAGACCATTACATCTCTACAGAAATATACAAAACCAATGCTCAAAACTCCTAGAATCCATATGGTTCACATAGGAGCCTGAACAAGCAATGAAGTGAGCTTGCTTTGAAAAAAAATCAGTGAGAGTCCAGATTACTGTGCTCCCCTGCTTGCAGGTAATTCCACAATAAAGTCTATGGCTATCTTCTTCCAAGGCTGGGAAGGATTGGCCACTTGTAACAGACCAGGAGGTTTGTCAGGGTGCTTTTTCATAGGTAGCTCAGCTTTGTATATAATTTCCAATGTTTTTTTTCATGCCTGGCCACCAAAACTGTCGCCACACCAAATGCAAAGTTTTTAGAAAACCAAAATGACCGGCTTGTTTTGCATCATAACTACACTAAAGGGCTTGAATTCTGAGGGACATTGGAAGGTATAGTTTAGAACCCTTCCAGGCTAGTCCATCTCAATAGGTCAGTAGCGATCTATTATCAGTGAACCAGGAGCCTGTTTTTAGTTCCTCTTTAAGTTTTTGCATTAATTGACTATCGGGCTCATCGGATTTCCTGTGTTTGACCCTTCATGGTTACTTCAGAGTGGTAGAAGAATTATGGAATTAATAATTTCCTCCTGACAACTTTTATATTGTGGAATTCTACACAAAACATCTGTCAGGAAGTTCCCCCCCCCCAGGGAGGTATTTGAGAGTGAAATTAAAATGGTTGAAGTACTGTGCCCACCTAACTTGTTTAAGGGACAACTTTCATGGGGTTTTTAGTGCCTCTAAGTTTTTATGATTAATCCATACATTGAAAAGCACTTTGGTCCTTTCCAGGAAATGGTAATAAATTAGTAAAGCCCATCTTACTGCTTCTCCCAAACAGCAATCATCTCTCTGTTTCTGAAAGTTTTTTTGAAGCATAGGCTCAAGGTTGTAGATCCCCGCTATTGTTTTTTTGTAGGAAGAAAGCACCCACAGCAACATCACTTCCATCAGCCTGGATAATGAATGGTTCCTCTGGGTCAGGCTGTTTAAGAACTGGTTCTGCTGCAAATAAACTTTTTAATTGCTCAAAAGCTGTCTGCCATTCCAGAATCCATTGTAAAGGCTGACAAGGTCAGGGTTCTCCCCCCATTTTTCTGGTCTTTAATAGTTCAGTAATTTCCATAGTGTTTTTTGCGAAAGAAGGAATGAATTGTCGATAGAAATTCATGAATCCCCAAAAACTTTGAAGTTACTTATGGGTTTATGCAGGTTGCCATTCTAGCACTGCTTTGACTTTGGAAAAGTCCATTTCCACTCCCTCACTAGAATTTCTGTACCTTAAGTAATTGAGGTGCATCTGATAAAACTTGCATTTAGAAAGCTTAGCATAGAGGCTAGCTTTCAACAACTTCTTGAGCACCTACCAAACTAACTTGACGTGTTCCTCCATTGAGTGTAGATGAAGATATCATCAAGGTAAACCAAACTCCCTTGTATAAGTGATCCTGGAGCACCTGCTTTATTAATTGCATAAACATGGCAGGAGCCCCTTGGAGTCTGAAAGGCATCACTTTGAACTGAAAACTCCCCAAGGGACAATTGAAGGCTGTATTTCATTCATCCCCCTCTCTAATCTGCACCTGGTTATAGGCTTCCCTCAAGTCCAGTTTTGTGAAAATTTTGCTTTTAGCAAGGTGGGCTAACATATCTTTCATCAGAGGAAGGGGGTACATATTTTCTACACTGACAGCATTTAACCCTTTAAAATTCACACAGAGTCTCAAAGATAGCTAATCTCAGAGTTCTCACATCATTCTCCCACTAAATGTTGGGTCAAAGAGGCCATCTATGTCAAAATTGAACATCCGTCTCTACATAGAGGGGGACAGAAGTTGTGGGTGTTCCATCACTGGAGGCTTTCAAAAAGAGGCTGGACAACAGTTTGTTTGAAATGGTATGGGGTCTCTTATTTGAACAGGGGCTTTGACTAAAAAATCTCTGAAGTCCCTTTCAACTCTATTATTCTATGTTTTGTTTTCTAGCTCTACTCTGTGATTTCATAAATTGATCTCTATTGATGTTGTTGCTTCAAACAATATACCGGAAACATATTGGCTTTTTCAAGTGGCACCCAATACTTTTAAAAACTTTCTTTCAGTACATATTTAATAAAGGTCCCATGCTAGTCAAACCTGCCCTGAGGTGGATGGTTCAGGTTGATTTCATATACTGTTACATTGTCCTTTTAACAACATTATATGCAGAAGGCTCATCTTTTGTCTCTGCTCCTAAAGTCCCTGAGGAACTTTAGATTGATTTTCTCCCATCAGATAAGAAAGATTATATTCCATAACTCACCAGGTTTTGTATAACAGTGGTGGATGGGATAAACCATTGATCTAAGACTTATATTGGTAGTTACTTTATTTACTTTATTATTATTCTTCAGTGATCTATGATTAATAGTTGAGATGTTGAGTAAATAAACAAGGAGAAATGATTAAACTATGTGAATTTATGGTATAGAGTGGAAAATGTCTTCCACACTGAAATGTAAACAAAGAGGTATCTGCATGCATGTATACGTATACACACACACACACACAAACACACACACACACAGAGTCATTCAGTCACATGAATATAATGCCCCATGCCCCTTTTTAAAAAAGCATACAACTGCAATGCTCATTTAACTGTATTTCAAGAAAAAAATGCCAAATTTTACTACAATGCATAAATAATTTAGAGTCTGATAGATAGCAATTTGGATTTATACAAAGGAAGATAAAGTGATAGCAAGCGGTGATGTCAGGTCACTAGCCAATTGTTGAACATATCCAGGGTAGTAGATGGAGATGGCATTATTGGTTTGGAGTGCAATAGAAGTGAGAGGATTGACAATAGGTAGATCAAAGTGGGTTTAATATTTCTTCTGCCCTCTGAACTCCAAACATTCTCTCCTGTCCTTGTTTCTGCACAGCATTGCCCGGGAAATCCTTTTCCTCATCATATCAATGCCTTACAATGCTTTGTGAATGCAAACAATATCAGGCAGATTGTTCCAATATACATTTGTGGCATCTCTATTAGGGCAGATTTTCTTACCATTTACAGCAAAACTTTTCCATACAATCCCATTTTCCAATAAAGTAGGAATGGACAGGACAGGGAGGTTCAAAGCAGTTTCCACCTCGCTCATAACAAATTTTTCTGGCACTCACTGTGAAAGGGAAAAGAGGAGAGAACTAAATGATGAGAAAAGCGGAGATAACTAAATGATGAGTAAAGATACTTTTTTTATTTAAAAAGTTTTATTAACAATTAACAGAATAAACCCACTAACCCACCCATCCCCCCCTCCTAACCCCCCCCCTGCTTCCCAGAGCTGAGTACAGGGTTATAACAAACATATTAAACATAATCTAATTAAATTTAACAAATATGTTAAACATAATCTAATTAAATTTAACAATTTATACAACAACTAAGTTCATACTTAACCCTTAATTCCCTTTAAACCTTAATAACATATTATAAACAAATCCATTTTTAAACAATTACCATAAAAAACCATAATAACCATAAATAAACTAAATAATTCCAATTAAAAATAGTATTAATAATAGTTATTATATTACAATTTAATCATAAAATAAATGGAATTTTTTAGTTCCATATTTAATCTGAATATAATCTATCCATCTTCTCCATACCATAATATATCTTTCTTCTGTATGATCCTTTAAATAAGCAGAAATTTTAGCCATTTCTGCTAAATTAGAAACCTTAAGTGTCCATTCTTCTATTGTAGGCAACGAACCTTTCTTCCAATATTGACCTATCAATAGCCTTGCTGCAGTAATTAAATTCAACATTAAAATAGTTTCTTTAACATCAAAATCCTCAAAAATCCCTAATAAAAATAGTTGAGGAGTAAACTTTATCTTCCTTTTAAAAATATTTTGAATGTTCCACCAAATCATAATCCAAAACGCCTCAATATTTTTACAAGTCCACCAAACATGAAAGTAAGTTGCATCAGAACTACCACATCTCCAACATTTAGGCTGTAAATTAGAATACATACAAGACAACCTTTTAGGATCCAGATGCCATCTATAAAACATTTTATAAAAATTTTCCCTTAAATTTTGAGCCTGTGTAAATTTAACATTTCTAATCCAAATTATCTCCCATAAATCCAATGGGATTGGTTCCTAGATATTCTGAGCCCATTCAACCATACAATCTTTAACCAATTCTGTTTCTGAATCCAATTCTATTAACACATTATAAATTCTTTTTATGTGAGCCTTATTCTGATCTTTAATCTGAATTACCAAATTTTCATCTCCTAATGTTATTCCAACTTTCTTATCTAAAGTCCACCTATCCACTATTTGTAAATACTGAAATCATGACTGTAAAGTATTTTCTTGCCTTAATACATCTAAAGATTTTAATTGCCAGTCATTACCCAAACAAATAAGTAATTCTTTGTATGAAATTTTTTCAAAATTCATCCCCTTAGAGATCCCCTCAATTACATGTCCAGGAATCCCCCAAATAGGTATTTTATAATTTAACCTATAATAACATTTCTTCCAGACTCGAAGTAGGGCACTTCTTAAAATATGCAATTTAAAAGCCTGATCTACTTTCTTATTAAAAATTAAATATGCATGCCAACCATATAATAGATCCCACCCTTCAAGAGAAAGAATATTTTTATTTGTTAAATTAAGCCAAACAATTATCAAAGTTAATGTGGCTGCATCATAATATAATTTTAAATTAGGTGCTTTAAGCCCTCCTCTTTCTCGAGCATCTTGCAAGATCTTAAACTTCCCCCTTGGTTTTTTCCCAGCCCATATAAATTTATTGATACCCTTCTGCCACTCATCCAAATTAGAGTCTTTTTTTAAAAATGGGTATCATTTGAAACAAGAAAAGAAACTTTGGTAGAACATTCATTTTAACAGCTGAAATTCTCCCCAACAACGACAGTTGCAACTTTTTCCAATCATTTAAATCCTTTTTTACTTTTGTCCATAATACTTCATAATTATTCTTATATAATTTCCCATTAGAAGCAGTTATACATACTCCCAAATATTTAACCTTCTTCACTATCTGAAAACCTGTAAGTCTAACTAGAATTTCATTTTCCTTCTCAGTCATATTCTTAGATAATATCTTAGTCTTATTATTATTTACTTTAAAACCAGAAACTTTCCCATATAGAGTCATAAGTTCCAATAAACGACTAACCAATTGAATCGGTTGTTGTAAAGTTAACACCAAATCATCTGAAAAAGCTCTCAATCTATACTCATTCTTATTTATTTTTATTCCCTTAAGTACTGTAGACACTTGAATTTGAATTAACAAAATCTCCATTGTCAAAACAAATAACAAAGGAGATAATGGACAACTTTGTCTTGTACCTTTTTCAATATTAAAAGTCTCTGTCAATCTCCCATTAATAATAATTTGAGCAGACTGCTGCTGATATATAGCCTTGAGAGCATATAAAAACTTATCTCCAAAATTCATTCTATTAATAAAAATAAAAATTGCCAATCTAATTGATCAAAAGCTTTCTCAGCATCCAAAAATATAAAAGCCACAGGAATCTGATTATTCTTATCCAAATACTCAATTAAGTTAATAATTTGTCTTGTATTATATAACCCTTTATGGATTACTGCCTTGTCGTGGCGAAGGGGCTTGCGTAACTCAATGAAGCTATAAGCTATGCCGTGCAGGGCCACCCAAGATGGACAGGTGATAGCAGAGAGTTCTGACAAAATGTGATCCACTGGAGAAGGAAATGGCAAACCACTCCAGTATCTTTGCCATGAAAACCCCATGGACAGTACTAAAAGGCAAAAAGATATGACACTGGAAGATGAGCCCCTCAGGTCGGAAGGTGTCCAATATGCTACTGGGGAAGAGCAGAGGGCTAGTACTAGTAGCGCCAGAAAGAATGAAGCGACTGGGCCAAAGCCAAAAGGACGCTCAGCTGTGGATATATCTGGTGGTGAAAGGAAAGTCCGATGCTGTAAAGATTTTTTCTCCATAGGAACCTGGAATGTAAGATTCATGAATCAAGGCAAGCTAGACGTAGTCAAAAAAGAGATGACAAGAATGAACATCGACATCTTAGGAATCAGCGAACTAAAATGGACAGGAATGGGTGAATTTAACTCAGATGACCATCAGGTATACTACTGTGGGCAAGAATCCCTCAGAAGAAATGGAGTAGCCTTCATAGTCAATAAAAGAATAGGAAAAGCAATACTGAGATACAATCCCCAAAATGACAGAATGATCTCAATTTGAATCCAAGGCAAACCATTCAATATCACAGTAGTCCAAATATATGCCCCAACCACTGGTGCTGAAGAGGATGAAATTGACTGGTTCTATGAAGCCCTACAGCACCTTATAGAATTAACACCAAAAAATGATGTCCTTATCATCATGGGGGATTGGAATGCTAAGGTAGGAAGCCAAAAGATAACCGGAATAACAGGCAAGTTTGGCCTTGGAGTACAAAATGAAGCAGGGCACAGGCTAATAGAATTTTGTCAAGAGAATACGATGGTCATAACAAACACTCTTTTCCAACAACCCAAGAGACGGCTCTACACATGGACATCACCAGACGGTCAACATAGAAATCAGATTGACTATGTGCTCTGCAGCCAAAGATGGAGAAGCTCTATACAGTCAGTAAAAACAAGACCAGGAGCTGACTGTGGCTCAGATCATGAGCTTCTCGTTGCAAAATTTAGGCTTAAATTGAAAAAAGTAGGGAAAAGCACTAGGCCACTCAGGTATGAACTAAATCATATTCCTGATGAATATACAGTAGAGGTGACAAATAGATTTAAGGAACTGGATCTGATAGACAGAGTGCCTGAAGAACTATGGATGGAAGTTCGCAACATTGTACAAGAGGTAGCAACTAAAACCATCCCAAAGAAAAAGAAATGCAAGAAAGCAAAATGGCTGTCTGAGGAAGCTTTGCAAATAGCTGAGGAAAGAAGGGAAGCGAAAGGCAAAGGAGAAAGAGAAAGATACACCCAATTGAATGCAGAATTCCAGAGAGTAGCTAGAAGAGATAAGAATGCCTTCTTAAATGAACAGTGCAAAGAAATAGAAGAAAACAACAGAATAGGGAGGACCAGAGATCTCTTCAAGAAAATTGGAGATATGAAGGGAACGTTTCATGCAAAGATGGGCATGATAAAGGACCAAAATGGCAGAGACCTAACAGAGGCAGAAGAGATTAAGAAGAGATGGCAAAACTACACAGAAGAACTATACAAGAATGAGCTTAACATCCCAGATAACCACAATGAGATGGTCATTGACCTCGAACCAGACATCCTAGAATGTGAAGTGAAATGGGCCTTAGAAAATCTGAGCAACAACAAAGCTAGTGGAGGTGACAGTATTCCAGCTGAGCTATTCAAAATCTTAAAAGACGATGCAGTAAAAGTGCTACACTCAATTTGCCAGCAAATTTGGAAAACTCAACAGTGGCCACAGGATTGGAAAAGGTCAGTTTACATTCCAATTCCAAAGAAAGGCAATGCCAAAGAATGTTCAAACTATCGCACCATTGCACTCATTTCACATGCTAGTAAAGTTATGCTTAAAATCCTACAAGCTAGACTCCAGCAGTATGTGGATCGAGAACTACCAGAAGTACAGGCAGGATTTCGAAGAGGCAGAGGAACTAGAGATCAAATTGCCAACATACGCTGGATCATGGAGAAAGCTAGGGAGTTCCAGAAAAACATCTACTTCTGCTTCATTGACTATGCAAAAGCCTTTGATTGTGTGGATCACAACAAATTGTGGCAAGTTCTTAAAGAGATGGGAGTACCAGACCATCTCATTTGTCTCTTGAGAAACCTATATGCGGGTCAAGAAGCAACAGTGAGAACCGAACACGGAACCACTGATTGGTTCAAAATTGGAAAAGGAGTCCGGCAAGGCTGTATACTGTCGCCCTGCCTATTTAACTTATATGCAGAGCACATCATGAGAAAGGCAGGGCTAGATGAATCAAAAGTTGGAATTAAGATTGCCGGGAGAAATATCAACAACCTAAGATATGCAGATGATACCACTCTAATGGCAGAAAGTGAAGAGGAACTAAAGAGCCTCTTGATGCGGGTGAAGAAGGAGAGTGCAAAAGTTGGC